TTTTTTTTTAATATTCTATTTTAATTTTAAATTAATACTATATAAATATTATTATTATAATTAATTTTAATATATATTAGTTAAAAGAAATTAAACTATGTTTAATAAATAATAAAAATATATAAACTTAAATATTTATTTTATCTATTAAAATATATAAATACAAAATCTGTATAAAATGAAACAAAATTTAACTACATATCATTGGTGTCAATTAAAGAAAAAATCTTGTAAACATCATAAGATGCAAAATTTTCTTGTTAAAAAAATTTTATCATAAAGCAGAGAAAATATGTTTTATTAGTATGTCAAAATTGTCAAATAAAGAAATTAAAATATAGTGAAAAAAGACCATATTTTGAATATAAAAGACATAATATTGAATATATTGTTTCTACTAAAATCAAAAAGAGAGGTCCAACAAAAAAAGAACAAAAGAACTATTTATTACTTAAAAATATTTTAAATTAATGACTATTTTTTTTGTTTTACTTTCTATTATTGTAATTTTAAAATATAATTTATAAATAAAAGTTTATTTTTAAAACAAGTGAGAAATACTTTCTAGAGATTTTGTTTGTATTTACGTCTCCAACTATATTCTTTAAGATATAGTTCAATAATTCTAATTCTTTTTTTATCTTTTGGAATTGATAATTTTAAAGTATTCCAAGTATCTTCTATTGTATTTGTATGAATTCTTCTAAGTTTTTGTTGTTAAGATATTCATTTCGAATAATTAATTTGAATATGTTTAATATTTAATTTATCGAGATTATTATAATCTTTCCAACAATTACTATATACTTTAAAACCAGGTTTTACATATCTTTTAATAAATTTAAAAAGAGTTGAATAATTACGATTATTAACAACTTCAAAATAATATTTCTTATTTCTAGTTCTTTCAGTAATTCTTACAACCTAGAAATTACTAAATTTTGATTCATCTATTTCAATGATAACACCAATTTCTCCAAGTATTTTGTCATTTATATTTAATAATTTAATAACTAATTCTCGAAAAAATTTAGTATAACCAGAAATTGTTTCTTTACAGTATTTTGTAATAGTTAAAATATTTGTAAAATGAATTTTAGCTATCCAAAAATAGGCCAATAAAATGATATCATTACAAAGAATAAGATTTTTAGAAAATAAAGAATCTGTATAAATAGAAACAGATTTTTTACAGTTTTTGTTAATATATCTAAATGTTTTTTTATATATGTATAAATTACTGTTACAAATATCACAAGTAGTTTTTTGTTTAATTAAATTTTTATCAAATAAATAGTTTATACAATT